CGACACCTAACCGGCACACTCATAAACCTTGCTTAACCGGTAGTAAGTCAGGTAGAGAAGGAAGGTTGGACATGAGGCCAGCGACACCATCCCGTAAAAATCAACAGCACAGCTACCGAAGCTTCAGAGCTCTACCATGAAACTCTACGTTCCATTTGGGACTTAAAGGACTAAATAATTAAGTAAAATTATTAGAAGAAGATAAATAAAATAAAAGTTTTCTCCGGGTAAAATGAATTTTCAATTGTTAGTTTTCAGGGATTTTGACTGATTTCATATTTTCAATAATTTAATAATTCCCATTGTAGCATTAAGAACACAATATTCAGTGAAGAGACTCTTTTCAACAACGAATTTATTATCAAGCTGTACAATCGTATATATATGGTTTTTTTATAAAAATCATATCCGGTGAGGGAATTAAGTCAAAGGTGTGAATGCATGAAATAATAGTATGAAATGCAATTAAAATATTTGTGATTATAATCATAGTTTAATGTCAAGTGGCAAAATAATTAATGTCATATATAGAGAATAATACATAAGGTGTATAGATTTTGGAAAGGGGTACATAATTATAAGATTAGTAGACGAATATAAAATGTTACATAACATGGTGTGAAATTTGATAAGATAGAATTCAATATTGTAAAAATAAAAATAGAAAAATCAATAATTTTGGGTTTAAAATGTCAAGTGGGTCAAGTGAAAAAGATTCAGAGTGAGAATAGTAATAATAATAATGACAATAATATTAATAATAATAATAGTAATAAGGGAAGAGTACATAGAATAACTAAATAAACAAAATAAATGAATGTCTATCTCTCTACGGCCAAGGCAGAAGTAGGGATTGTACATACTTCTTTTGTACACAAAGGTCTGGCTTAAAGTCATGAATTGCCAAGGCCTCAGCTGTCTTTAGAAGTCTATAACGAAGAAAACTCGGGAAGTTAGCATGGATTCTATATATGATCTTAAAATCATGGTCAGGGTTGACAGAGTGACAGAAGTCGATCAGGTGTTCCAAAATAGAGCTTCACACACACTTCCTTTCTTTCTTGTAAAACCATGCTGGAATATGTTCTCGTATCCGTGTGGAAAGTGTCCTCTGACTACGGCCAATGTACCTTGCTCCGCAACAGCAGGTGAACTGATAGATGCTTATCTTTTACAGAAGTAGAGAACAACTTGCGGCTAGTGAATGTCATATGTAATTCTGCTGCAAAGAACGTCTTACTGACTGATTTAGAGAGATGATTTCATATTAAATATCTAAAGGACATCATTTAGAGGTTCCTTCGAAACCAGGGTGTACTCAATAAACAGCTTCTTTGTTCTAGAATGGGACTCTTCATCAGTACATACTCATGTTAATAACAATGACCCTACCCAGTGGCTTCAGGCTACAAAGCTAACCCGTTGACCACTCAGTCATTGGAACGGAATCCCATGACCTGAAAATGCTAAATTTTTGTCCATTCGCGATAGATAGCAACACATCCAGCCAGTGTTACAAGGAAGTATTTATTCTTATACTCGACTTAGTAAACCCGTCTAAGAATGGCTTCAAACTAAGACCCCAAGCACTCCATCCGACAGCCACTCACTAGTAGGTATTAGATTGACTTTCAGGTGCTGGTTTGTAAGGATTTCATCAGTTTCATGAGCTAAAAAGAGTTTTAATTTATGAGCTGCCGGATCACATCCAAGTGGATGAATGGTCAACAGGCTAGTCTCAATTGGTTAAGATCCTCGGTTCGACTAATAATGGGTGGTCAGTTAAAATTGCTGAAGAATCCCAAACTAAGACGAAACAGTTATCCTTATTTGATTTCATTTCGGGGTATAACTTGAAAGGAATCTGTAAAAACTGAAGTAGAAACAAATTAATCTATGATTCCAGGTAAATAGTAGCTGACAAAGGAATCCAGAATGTTTATCTGATTCAATCACTCCTTGAAAGCAGTACTCACTGAGACATGATGTTCTTTGGCCCAGTTGATAACATTTTAGCATTTGTAATACGAAGTGTGCTGAATTTCAGCGTCAGTGAGAATTTGAAAGTGTTTCTTAATAAATTGCATACACCAAGTTCCCTTAATGAATCTGAGGCAAGAGTAATAACAACACATGGTGCAGGATAAAATGGACCCGTTGTTTATTTGATCAATACTTTCTCAGTTGTATACAAACAAGATGCTAAAATGATCATGGCGTACAGATAAATTTCATTACTTAGGATGCATTCAGTAGACAGGATCTTGATGAAATAAGCAATAGGTCCGCTTTATCCTACATCACGTGCTGGTTGTTATTGCTTTGTTCGAGAACGGGAAAATGCTGACTTATAACTTTCAATAATTGTACTGTATGATTCAGTCGATTGTTTATGTAGTAATGCTGACTATCCACGTCATTGATGCAAACGATAGTTGGCGAGTTTCATTTCTATGATCTTAAATTAAATCCTTCCAAATGCGAAGTCACTGGTACTCTATACGGATCAGAGACATGGCGCGACCTGAAGAGAACCTCAAACAAACTACACACCTTCATCAACGGCTGTCCTCGCTCAGTACTCAAAATCAGATGGCCGGCCAGAAAAGATCAGCAACAGGGATCTCTGACACCGAGCAAACCAACCCAGCAGGAACCAACTGTGCAACAAATATGCAGGAAGAAATGGAGTTAGGTGGGTTGGCCATACTCTGAAAAAACCATCAAGTGACATCACTAGACAAGCCCTCGAGTGGAACCCGAATGCGAAGAGGCGAGTTGGTCGTAAGTATGAGGGTGACAATGAGGAAGTCATGCAAAGAGGAGGTGAAAGCATGTAGGCAGACGTGGAGCCAGGTGAAAACGTTGGCAGACAGCGGAAGGCAGTGGAGACGTGCGAATGAATCCCTATGTTCCTCTAGGAACTAAAGGAAACAATAATAATAATAATATAAATATTAGGTTAAAAACAATTAGTTCCCTATATGAATTTAGATAAAGCTATAAGAAGACGTAATTTGTCTGACTCGTGTAATGTGTATTTGCGCAACACATTTCGAACAATCTGATCACACACGGACTTGTCATAGGAACACACATATATAAAATTAATAAAGAGGTAAGAGGTGAGAAAATAGACTTAGGTCAAGTTAAAAGGAGAGGACAGTATCTTAATTACCACAGTTTCTGCCTTGTTCGGTACAAAAGAGCCTTAGTAAGGTGCCTCTTCAGTAGAATCCAACGAATATGCACTGAAGACACATTTGATGAAGGAGAAAGAAAGTTAACACAGACTCTGGTTGATAACAATTATCCAGACAAGTTCATCAGGAGATATAAAGTAGTCAGAACACCAAGACCCACTATCTGACTCGCCCCTAAGAAAGACGTGTACATCAAGCTACCTTATATGGGCATCAAAGCAGTTTGATAACTAGACAAAGACTGAACATTGCTGTCAAAAAGACTTTTTAGGCAGCCAATATCACAATAATAGAGAATGTAAAGCCAATATATCTATCTAAGCCCTTCGAACATGCGAAAAATAACGTCACATCCCACTGTATTTACCAATTTGAATGTACGTGTGGATACACATACATAGGGAGGACTCATCGATCTCTGCATGTAGGGGCTGGGTTCGGAGCATATTCCTAAATGGCTCCAGAAATAAATGGAATCTTCAGAACCTATTAATGGTGAGAACAGGAGACCTAGCTCCTCTATTGCGATACATATGACAGATAAAGCAGGACATAAAATTGACGTTAACAGATCTTTTAAACCCATCTATAAAGCGTGTTTTGGACGTATCCTAAAGTTTGTGAAAGCTCTAGCGATTAGGAAGTTTAAACCACCTTTATGGGTTGAAAGCAACAATTCGTCATCCCATTAAACCTTCTTTTGTAAATTTTGTTTTGAAACCACAGCAGATGTACTATTGCCTCTGTTGTTCGGTTTAGTGATCTTCATTGTTATTTCGACCTTCAATATGTGCTTTTAACTTGACCTAATTTGTCTGTTTTCTCACCTCTTACCTCTTTATTAACTTCATATATATTCCTATGACAAGTCCGTGTGTGATCAGATTGTTTGAAATGTGTCGCGCAAATACACATTACACGAGTCAGACAAATTATGTCTTCTTATTGCTTTATCTAAATATCAGGTTGTTAAATTTAACTTTCAAACGCAAGGGCTACCTACATTAACTAGTTCGTCACCATGATTCATCTTACTATCCTAGATGGTACTGAAGTTTAAATTAGATTGGGTGTTAAATGTCTTGGATAGTTTATTTCCTCTGGTCTTTCCTGATCTTCCCACATCATGTTAATTTCTAGAATAATATTTTGTTTATTGTTCCACTTAAAGAAAGTGAGATAATCCGGTATTCCTCAGTCTCTACGTCCTACAGTCTGCTAATCCTCGTATTATACTTATTCTTCTTTATTGCCGCTATTAACATCTTTCTTGGACTACACTTCGAAGGGCACTAAAAGCTGTCAGTGAGACAAGTGGGGCTTAACTGTTGTAGACAGTAGACATATGGATTCCTGCAAGAAATAAGCAGATATTATCCTGTCACAACTCTCTCTCTGTTTCTCTGCATCTCATCCGGCAGAACTAAAAGCAACAACAGAAGACTTTATCCTCGGCCGAGTAAGTAAAAAATCTCTACAATGTTTAATTTGGCCAGGATACATTTCGTCTCATTTTGGACTCATACCACCATCTATCAGTCGAACCCGCTACCTATCGTTTCAAGTGCCAAGACATTTCCTACTAAACCATTCCGGCTTAGAAAGCCACCGACCGTACAAACAAAAACAAATAATGGCGATTTTCACTACTGCTAACAATGGATTCTGATTGGTTTAAATACTTGAAGTCTTCAACCAATCAAAATTTAGTTTTGTTTACATATACAGCTGCATTTTTATTGGTTGATATTGTGAATAGTCTAGGGTAGAGGAGTTGATAGTGTTATTAATGCTGAATGTTAGCGTGTTATTCTTTGGCGTAATCTTGAGATAAATGCAATTCACTTAAGCCATTTTTTTCAATATTCTTCTAGTCTAATCAATTTTTTTTCTAATGTGAGTATGGATATTAGTATATATATACATAAATATTAGTTTCATCGCATATACACAAATTCATGTACGTTTATCCTGTTCACAAAATGAACTAAACTGGATTATAATTTTATAGTTTAAGAACAACACAAAACTGAAAATGAACCGCTTACTTATAATTTTATATACTCTACACTATACTTACTGTTTTGGACCTGGACTTTTCAAACTCTCCTCAAATTCTTACGATGAATGGAATCCTTCACTGTCAGCACCCGCATCCTCATCCGCCTCGATCGCATCCTCTTCTTCCATTTCTTCATCTGCTGTTCCAGCTGCTTTACCCTATTCAGGTGATACAAATTCTTATGCTTATTGGAATTGTCATACAATTCCACCAAATATGACACTATGTAAAAGTGTCGGCTATTCACGTATGGTACTGCCAAACTTTTTACAACATGAATCACTCCGTGAAGCTATCCAACAGGCGAATGTATGGATTGCTTTAGTCAATACAGATTGTCATCCAGATATTCAGCGATTTTTATGCTCTCTATATGCACCAGTTTGTTTAAAAAGTCATCAAGAAGCTAAAATACCACCATGTTGGGAATTATGTGATCAAGTGAGAAATGCTTGTTTACCAAGAATGAAATTATTCGGTTTCGACTGGCCTGATATTGTACGTTGTCAACAATTTCCACGTTTAGCTGAAAGTATGTGTATACCTCCGCAGGAGAAGAGTACTGGTAAGTTTAGAAAGATTTTCGATAATCTTATCATGCATAACTTTTAATCTGTATTACTCTTTTGATGTGATTCTGTTCTCTGGGTTCAGTGGTTTTATTATGAAGCTCTGGTTGTCTTTCTAGACAGCGTCTTCAGCAGAGTCGCCTTGAATGTAAAGTAAGTGCTGAGCTAAACGTTGGCAGAGTTAAACTATAACAGTTACCCTCGATCAACCTTACCACTGACTTTCAAACAACTAATCATAATTAAGGGGCGAGAAAGGTCGCGACACTGCTATTAAGGATTATGGTGTTCTCAGATCTATCTACACTTTTAATTATGTTCTATGTCAAAAGTCCTAATATCTCCGTAAAAGACAAGTTAGCCTGTCGAGCCTTCCCTTGCATCTATTATCCACCTATCCATCTATTATCGGGAAATGAACAGGGAGAATTAGCTATGTCAGATTGTAAAATAAAATAAAACGAATAGAAGAAGGCAAACTACACACTAGTGTTTATAAAAAACCAGCGCATTCTGCTAATAGATATTTAGACTTTAATTCATTTCAACCGTTATCTGACTGTGAAGGCAGGCCTAGTCAATTGCCTAACAAACCGAGCAATGACACTAAGTAGTACAAGAAAAAACCTAAACGTTGAAATGAAACAGATAGGAGAAGCGTTGGTATCAAATAACTAACTATCCTATAAAATTCATTAGGAAGATCAGAAAAGGTCAAAGCAAAATAAAAATAATGGCAAGACTAATAATGATAACACAAATAAGAAAGATAATAAGGTATCTACAGTACTTTTACCATATGAAGAGGGGACATTTGACACCCTACGTAGTAGGAATCTCAGTAAAGCAGGAATTAGGGTGGCAATCAAACATACAAACTCACTCGGGTACGACAAGTTCTGTAGGTTGAACCAGTTAGACAAAATAATATGATTTACAGAATACCTAGCAATGACTATGATTGTGGTCAACTACATGTGTCATACTAATAGATCAGGAGTAGTGATATTATCGGACCATAAGTATTTAGCTAAGTGTAGAATGATTGCCTCCACGAAGATTAGTAATTGAGAAAAAAACTAAGAAATAGCACTGCATGCGTTAAGACACAACCACACAATAGGGTGGGAGAGGGTTAAAATTCTAAAAAGTGATATAAGTAGGTGGAGAGAGAGGTTGATTACTGAATCCTGGTTCATCGAATGTACACACCCAACAGGTGCAATAGGAATGACTCATCACACGAATACCAGAGATGTGGAAAATACTACTACCATTCAAATCAAGAGGTGAAAAATAATTGGATTATATAAACCAAGTCAGAAAGTTGTGTACGTAACCTAATATGATTATGAGCAGCAATAAACTGTTCTCGAAACGTCATCACTAAATATAACACTGTGAAACTTTATCAAAAGAAATTTTATCCAATAATCAAACACTCAATCTTCCTGGGACTCTTTGAGTAAATGCAGAAAACCGGGTATAGTTAGATTTGATGAAACCGTGTTTGTGATCCATAAAATGACCTGTAGGGTAATTAAATGGGAACAAGACTAGTAGTGGCATATATGATATCTTTTTCATAAAGGTTCACAACACAAACATTAGCACACTGATAATAACTTGCAATGTGGTTTTCATTATACATTACGGGAGGTTTAAATCTCTGCCGGTTGCTTATTGAATCCCCTGAAACTTCCAATCCTCCTTCCACGTTTCATCTATACTGATTTTTCGATCCATTTCTAAATTATTGTTAATTTTTTCGAAAACGCTATTCATTTTACTACTTTTATCTATTTATGAGTAGTATGCATCACATAAAACTGTAAAAGAGGATTAATTTACCACGCTATTATCTTTTGAAACTAGTGTACTTGTTATAACGAAAAAGGCTCTTTTCGGGAGTATATTATTTCAAATGACTCTTAAATTGACGCATTATTAATCGTAGTCAAACTCGTGAAACATTTTAGTATCTTTTGAAAAAGACGGTTGCAGCTAAGAAGATTTTCTTTTCGACAAAGTCACCGTCAACTAGCCTGTACATTTGTGTATTTATAGGAAATAAGTGGGAAAGTTCCAGAACTATTTCCATTCAAGGGCCAAATTAATAAAATTACAAAGTGTAATAAGCAGGAAGGTTTGATGAGAAAGGTAACATGATAATCAATATTGATACGAATGATGTTTCATGATAGCTATGGCAGGAGCAACGGCTGGGTGTATTTCTTTTGAATATACAGTATGGGCTTTGTCATTTGGATCGCTAGTGCCTCACCTGTGCTTGGCCAGCTGCCTTCATTTCAATCCCTTTGAGAGGTTTGGTAGGATCTTGTATATGACTTTGAAGGATTTTTCAAACGGTGCTGAATCTCCTGAACACACCAGATATTCTGTTACCGAACAATATACAGTTTTGGGTTCTCCCTTCGTTAACCATGCCGGACAGGGTTCACGAATGCATTTTACAAGTGGAGGCATGGTACGGCCGACATACTCGGCTCCACGCAAGCTGAATATTTTTTTTGCAAGAAAACGTCCCTCGTAGGTCGGCGGCAGAGTTCGTCTGACTGAGAGGTTTCGGAAGCCACCTACATCAGTAAATATGATCCTACTATGTTTTTTATACGATCTCCCCGTTTATTACACTTTGCAATCTTATTAGTTGACCTATTTTCTATAAGTGCAAAATATACAGCCTAACTTGATGACTTTGTCGGAAAGAAAAATTTCTTCTTCTCTGCTTTTAGTTTTGTTCAACAATTAATGAACAGAATTAAATAACGCCCCAATTAAAAATAATTTCAGGGAGGACCTAGTGGTACATTTTGTGCAATGAGCACAAATTCAAGCTTATTGCCGCTAAATTTCATGGCCAACATTTATGTCAGTAGATCGTACATTATTGGGTAGGATCGTTATGTGCTTCTCATGTGACTTGTAGCATCAGGAGTCATCGTTTATTCAGTTATTTGAAGATTTGTAATTCTCCTAATACCTTTAAAGATATGAAGAGGATGCCTGTATTTGGAAACATGTGTGGTATGGTATTGTGAGGTATAATGAGGTTATATGTGAACTTTTAGGGTAGACCAAGGATTGATATCAATTAGAGAAACATTGAAAGTCAGCAGGGAGTGCAGGACAGCTGTCTCATCCTAGTTTGGCACTCGTCAGCATTGCGCACCCACTGGAGTTCGAACCCAGGACCTTCCGGCTACAAAGCAAACTCGTATACCATTCAGCCACTTGGACCCGATTGAATGGCCAACCCACGAATTCTAATTTCTACCAATTCATGATTTATCGCGACCACCAACTGATATCATTGGCGGGAAATCCATCCTCACACTTGACTGGATGGACCTCACTGGTCACGACTACTCACTAGAACTCCAGGCAACTTGGTCCTATAGCCATTCACTAGCCAGTATCAGATTAATTTTCAAGTGTTAGGTAAGGAGAGCAAGCCGCTGAATGGGATTGTGAAATTGTATAGCTTAAGGTGACTAAGATATGTCATACTCATACTGCATACCAAGCCACCACTGCTGTTAACAAAAAGAGCTGAGGGAGAGGGGAGGGTTATCAAATCAAATTGTGATGCTAATCCATGAAGTCATAGACTGTGCTGGTTTGAGACACCTAGTTAGTATTGTAGACTGCTTAGCTGAGATCATGGAAACACTAAAAATCGATAGTTAACGGCTACTGGCTCCAAATCGTTCTCAATAGAGCCGATGCATTCACTCTTAACGATCTCTTAGATCTATTAAATCTCCAATATTCCTCATTTCCGTCCACTGCAGTTCCTTTTTTTCTTCCCCACCCCCCTATTTTGTGTACTTGTGAAATGTAGACACGTGAATTGTTGTATATTTGTGCAAAATTCTGCGTCGATACTCAGTTATCACTAGTTGTCATAAATTTACTTTCTTCTAATCAATTTATTTATGTAATACTTCATAAAGTTTAAGATCTCCAAACTAAAAATGCACTTCGAGACAGTGAACAGATGAAAATGGGTTATTTAGTTAACAGATTATGCAATACATGTTGTCATAAAGTCTCTTTACAAAGTAGCTGAGATAAGAGGTAAACTCTTTAAAAATTAAAAAAAGGTCACTGGTTTTGACACTCATAAGATATCATTCGCTTATCAGTGGGAGAATTCAGAGGAAGGGTGATATCCCATGAAGGGTCTAATTTTCTTTTTACCTAAAACTCTGTCTGACGGCTAATGACGACAAAGTCAAACAATAGTGTCCCAAGGTATTTGAATGTACAAGTGACTTTCAGCCGACCAACCATAAAAGTAAGTGATTTTGGCACTAAAAATGACGTTTATTCACAAGAGAGAGTGCATGAACAGGCATTAAACAGGGTATCTTTCTCTGACATCACTTAAAAATATATGTCCCAGTAATGGTGAGGAGTGTCAGTTTTTAAGTTAGACCAGTTTCTGTACATGTATTTATTGAACTAACTTAGGATGGGATTTTTTCAAAGCCGTTTATTACTCTTATCCTGTTTTGCAGTTTTCCTCAAAAGTCCTCGGTTGAATTACTATGGTTTCCAGGAAGAGGATCGATGACTACTTACTAAGAAAGTGTGGATAATAAAACAAATTAAAATAACGAGCTATTAACACATTGCCCAAACAGTACTTAAAAATGTGAACTAGGTGAAATTTGCTCTTTAGTTGGTGAATAGCGTTCATGTTTGCGCTATTATAATGACAAGTGCCGTAGGTCAACGATTAGCATGCGTTCAAGGTCATTGGAGCGTTCGCACTCCTGGGATGCTATTGTTTAAATTCTCCCTAATGATACTAACTAGTTTATGACAAAGATGAAGTAAATGGATGGGGACACAAATCCTGGAAATTCCAGTGATTAATTTGATGTGTTACACCTTCAACAACTACTTATTGTTGCTTAAAATGCATCGAGTTGTGTCTAAGTAATCCCCTTTTGTATGTATCCTGTCA